ATTGCACCTACTGGCGGTCCCCGGGTTTCCTGAATTTTTCTTCGGAAATTAAAATATGTTATAAATACCTACAAATGTCTCAAAAAATCTAAAATCAGTCTCAGGGCCCAATTTTGGCTAATTCTGAAATTCTAGCATGGCGGCTTCGCCGTGCTTTGGCGACAGCACCATCGCGAGCGGCGGCGATCCGTCTCAGGTCGGCTATTTTCGGTCAATTTTGCATCGATCCCTGTGAGAAAACACGTTAAAGGAACTCAGTTGGCTGAAAAAATATAAAAAACCGAAACTCACATGTGGCAAGGCTCTCTAGTGTGGCGGCTCCTCCGGCTACCGTTGCGATTTGGTGTTTTGCTCTGATCAACCTGTATATAAGGAAACGATGATCACAATGGTAGAAAAATTATGTCGAATAGGAATTGGGAAGGGCCTCATCGGAGGCGTTTTGTAAATTTTCTGCGACGGTGCTGCAGGGCTTTACCCGCAGTTTTCAACCAATTAGCCAGTCCTTTTACTTCGATTTGGTAATGGGGGTATTTAAAATTGAATTTCGAACAAAGGGAGAAATTTTTACCTTTTTTGACGATCAGAAGTAAATTAAAATTTTACATAAATTAATTTAATTTACATTAAATTAAAATTGGGGATTACATAATAAATTTATAATCTCAACAAAATTTAAATTCATAATTTTTAAAGTAAAACACAAATAGTTTAATTAAATAGGACAGTATTTTTTTTATAAAAAGACAAAATAATAAAAAAATTGTTATTATTAGTCATTACAAGTTTGATACTAGCTATAGGCATGTTGTCTATCTATGTTGGTAGCTTTTCTTTGTGTCCTGTTAGACATTTTTAACCTATCCCAAACAAGCTTCTCATTCAATGCCAACCACCCTTTTTCTTAACACGCCTTATCGTTTCATGAGTGAGATTCAGGAAAACAAAAAGGCAGTGCTTGTCAACTAAATTTATCTAAAATTGAAATTTTATTAATTCAACATAAACTTATATTTATGCACGAATATATATCTTCTAGTTATATAAAATATAATGCAAATATTATTTTATATGAACGAAAATTCCTAATAAAAATATAAAAAATTTATTGCACATTCGATTTTGGAATTAGGTGTGAAAAAAAAAAATGTGATTTAGGAATTACATAGAATATAGTTCAAGAGAGCTTGTAATAACTAACATATAAAATTATTAATATTCATATTTTATTTTTATATTTAGAGTTATTTATTATCACATTAAATAAATAGATAACTATTATCTATACTATCACCCTATTTTTATTTAAATATATTTATAATTATTTTTTATATTATAAAGATAAATAGATAATCATTATCTATGTTCATACCAAATATAAAATTATTTCAAGAAAATGAGAATGTCAATTTCGTATTTCTTATATATATATTGATGATTATAAAGATTTATAAAATTTATTTACAGTTTGCCCCTATTTTAAATAAGAATTTATATAAAATTTCAAATTCTTCTCTAAATTAAGCTTTTGAGGACCAACACTAAGTACAATTTTATAAGGTATATCAAGATACGTATCCATTTACTTGGTACATTCAAAATTTTATTCATGTCATGTAGTAACAAAAATTGAATCCATACAAAAGTTACATTCATGTGATCAAAATATACATTCATTCTCGCCATATCTATCTATATGTGTGTGTGTGTGTGTGTGTATATATATGTTTGTGCATATAGTAAAATCCAATTATCTTTCTTGTCCTTTTTATCTTGTTGAATTGGAGTAGAAATGAGTGATAAAACTTCACCATTTCTCTTCGTTTGTATTAATCAATAGTGAACCTGAAGCACGTGGTTTGGAGTCCCAGCAAGATCAGATGCTGATAAAGCGTGTGATAACTAATGAAAAATAAAAAAATTAAAAAAAAATCAGTCTCACTATCATATGCCAATTGATATATATATATATGCTCGTATATGTACATATATATATATATAGCTGTATATATTAAGATATAAGTGAAGTCCAAAATTAGGTTTCTGTCAAAGTATTTTTGTTTTGTCATTTTATTTTTCAAAAAGGATAGTTATATTATATACAATTGGTTTGGAATGATCTACATACATACTATTAAAAAATTAAATTAAAATTTTAATTTGTTATAATTATAATAAATAAATGAACATAACTATCATATAATGTTATTTGTGTATATATTGATTAGATAAATCAATTTTATATATTATATATAAAACTTTGTGCAAGATCAGATAATTTTTTATTGTTCTAAAAAAAGTCTGTGTATTAAAATCACCTCCAATCCAAGATCCGAATAGAATAAAACAAGATCCGATTTCCATTTTGCATTTTTTAATTAAATCAAATTGATAGTTCCTAGCTAGTGGGTTTTTGCTAATACCCAATTGTAATAAATATATACATAATGATTAATATTGTAACACATAGATAATCTGATGTTAGAAATATTTTGTATATTCAAATCAAAACGACGGTGCTTCACTTGAAAAAAAAAAAAAAAGAAGCAAGATCAGTCCGGGAAATAGTGCAAAAAGGTTTCCATATTTATTTGTTATGAATATTAATTATATAATATAATATTCACTAAAAAAAAATGTAATATAATAATATTAAAAGAGAATTAAATGAGTGGAGGAGCACTAGGGAGAGCAGACTTTAGTGGTTGACCTCGTGCTTAGTTCACCCATGAATGCAAAATTCCAAAATAAACTTTGAATTTTTTATTTTCCATATAAAAGAACTAAAGGTATTCTTTTTTTCGAAATTCAAAAATAAAATAAAATTTACTTGTAAGTTCACAGTTCATATATTAAGATCATAAATAAATAAAAAAAATTTTGAATAGAAATTCTAATAAAATTCTAGTAATATATTTTACTGATTAAATCTAATTTGATTTCATATAAATTTACTTTTTTAAAAAAAAAAAAAAAAAGTTTCTAAATATTCCTTCTCTCTCTTACCACCTCATCACCCACTCGATGTCTACTATCTGGCTCTAGCTCCAGATCTGTAATCAAAATCAATCTCATCAATTTGTCGTAATAAAATTTAAAAAATAAAATGATACATGTTTAAATTTAAATAATAATTTTTTAATTTAAGATCGTCATTAATGTATCCTACCTTCCATACCGTACACGTGGCCCACATAAGTCAGTGATCTGGTGGTGGGCCATATCTACAGATAGCTAAGCTCTCCACCAATCTACATAAAGCGGCTTACCTTTGTTGTTTATCACCATAACCTTTTTTTTATTTGATTTGTGTGCTTTTAAGTATATAATATAATTAAGAGTGATGCATGTGCTTTGCATTAGATCATACATGTAAATTAAATCAATCACCGCCGTTGGATTTAATCAAAGTATCTCCATCAAATGATGGTTTATATTCAGTAGGTAAGAAGGCCACATCAGAGATAACATTTTCGTGTCATCCAGTGGCTAAGATTTGTCTATCCAGGACCTTATGTAATGTCATTATCAAATATATCATCTAGCTTCTTTCATTTATTTTTTTCCTCCTCTTCTTTTCTATTTAACTTTTTTCTTTTGTTTTTCATACAACTTTTCTTTAAAAAAATATATATGTATCTATAACCAAACTATCATTAAACTTAAATACATTATAATGTCCTAAGAACTGTTTCCCAATTTAAATCATAAGAGATTTTCAAGAAATTATATGGAGACGGAGACCCACATCTAGCCAAGTATTCACATTCAATATCGGGGTAACAAACTTTACCCTTTTCTCGATAAACAAAAAAACAAGCAGGATCAAATACGCGTAGTCAAATCTAACTATAGAGATTCTTATCAAATTATCAAGTTCAAATCATAATTATTGTTTTTAAGACCGAGTTAGTCAACGTAATCTACCAAAATTTAAGCATAAACACTCTGCAAGTAGGATGACTAGAAACAGGAAACCACTACGTGAATTCAAATCTGCTACTTCTGAAACGGGAAATATTTTTCTGTCTTAACAAATTTTACCGGTGTTTAGTCAATATTCTCAAGCAAATTGGGTAAGCGACGGCGCTATGGCGAGTATATGTCCTATTGCAAGGCAAAGCAGATGACGCTCATAATTCATTCATACATACATACATACATATGTACATATAGCGAGTGAGGGAAAGACCCATCTGGGTCTGGGGCAGTGGGTAAGAAGAAAACATTAGGGTTTGGTCCACTTGCTACGTCTAGAAACGGATAGACAAGAAAGAAAGCCAAAGCTTTGTTTCCCATCACTCATTCAATTGCACAGTCAGATCCCACTTTGATGATAAGTTTGCTTTTTACCTCACTGGTTGATAGAATACCAACAAAGAAGGCAGATAGATTTCTATCCTAATTATGAGATATATATATATATATATGTATACATATACACGTATAGATAGATACAGAGAGATAGCGATGGTGGACTCAGGCTGCTTTATAACGCAAATGCAGGGGCTGTGACAAATCATCACCATTTTTGGTCCCACCCACAAGTCAGAAAGAAAAAACAGAGAACAAATAATTCAGGAACAGCTATTCTGTTGTAAAACCTGTTTTGCCCTCCCTTGATTATCAACCTACCTCTTGCTTTGATTCTATTAAAACAAACAGATAAAGTCCATTCAACTCGATCAAAACACAGATCAATTCCATCTGAAATTGAATGGTTTGCAAGAGCATTTACCTGTTTCTGAGGCCAAAATGTCTGACGTGATCCACAAGGACAGAGAAAATGATTCAAAGCCATTCCCCCAGAGATGGGTTTCTCATGGAATCTAAACCCCACAGAGTGGTGGAAGGGGTCCTGCATCGTGTACTTGTAAGAACACTTTCCACATATAATTAATGGGCCTCACTGTTTGATCACTCCACATCCAGAATAAAGGGAGAAAGAAAAGAGAGGGCGACGAGCCAACGACATAGTCACAATTTAGTAATAGTATAGATGGTCCATGCATATGCATATTTGGCATTTATTACTCATCTCACATTGCCAACAAAAACAACAATAAATTCAACAGTCAGGTGCTACAACAACACATCTGAAAAATAAAACGTTGAGAAAGGAAGGGGGGGAGAGAGAGAGAGAGAGATGTATCAGTCTGGGGATTTAGTTCTCACCGGCTATGGTCTTAAACTAACTACAACTTGAATTAAAATAACGTGCTAACTTTGTTTACGACTGAATACTTGCTTTTCGTTTCAATTCAATTCTCTACTGGGAGTGACATGGAAGAAAAGTTCCGCTACTTCACCATCTAAATCAGCAAATTCTTCAAGGCCATCTTTGTTTACTTCAGTAATGGACGAGTAATTTGTTGGTTGGGTCCAGTGAAAACACATGCATTTCTGATGCAGATGCAGCAGATCAATAATCCCTCCCTTTCTCCTTTCGCAGCCTTTGTTTATGATAAATGAATAGGAAATCCCGAAAAAGAAAAGAAACATAAAAACCTTAGATGCATACCGATACAACAATGCAATGGTTCAAATAACTTACAGAGATGTCCATCTTTTGATTTAGATCCTTCCTCTCAAAGAACCAAAGCAACGGATGGTCCTCTATAGAGCTTTCACTTTGAATACCATTGCAACAGCCCAGCTAGGAACATAAGTTGTTTACCCAAACAACTATGGTTGACAAGATGCTGGGACTCTCCTGCGGGATATATAAAATGTCCCCGCAATACTAAAACTTCCCCAAAAATAAATACTTTGTAGCTTTGCAAGGTAGCCACAGTAGGAATAGCCAATACAACTTCCAGCACCACACAAGGGTCTATAAGATTGAGACAAATTTTGGTGCATCTTTTCTCGGTCCTTCAAGAGACCTATACATGTACAGTGTCTCAACATAGTCATCTATTTCCTCCTCATCCTCAGATCTAATCACTTCTACCACCAGGTGAGGCATTGCTTGAGCAATCTCCTGGCATCCTTGGCGTGATAATCTACAAGAGGACATCCATAGGAACCTCATGTTGTAATAATGATGCAACCCAGAGCGCAGAGCAGCATCCCCAAATGGACTGTCTCTAATCTCAAGCTTCTGCAGCCTGGGGCAACCCTCAAGCACATACTTCAATCCCATATCACTGTCTCCAGCAAAAGCTACCGACAGAGTCCGCACCAGTTTCCCATATTTCCCAATATAACTGAAAGCTCGATCAGTTAGTAAACCGGACACAGCAAGTCGAGTGAGTTTCTTGCAATTCATAACAATGGCTCCAAATCCCTCATCCATGGGTTCTCCAGTTATGTGATCAGGCCTGTGGCGACCCATTATGCAGAGCCTAAACACCACAAGATCTGGACAGTTCTTTGACATGGCTATCACTGCAGCATTGGTCATTCTCTGGCAGAAGTACAAGATAGATTGCAGTTTCCTACAACCCTCAGAAATTGCTTGGAGGCCCACTTCAGAAACAGGGCCCTCGCTGTCCTCCCGAGCATCAATAGGGAAAACCCTAAGCTCACGGAGTTCCTTGCATGTTGCCGCTACAGCCTGAAGACCTTCATCACATATTGAATCAAGAACCTGCAAATTGAAATTCAAAGCAAACTAAGGTTAATTCAAAGTCACTTTCCCCTAGAATAGTCATAAAAAACCAAAATGCCGAACACATACCCAGAAAATCTGGAGTTTGTGGCAGTTACTTATCACAGGTTTAAGCTGTTCAGCAGTAATATTAGCATAGCTGAAATTCAGAGAGGTGAGATTAGCACAAACTGGATAGATAGCTGGTAAGTAATCTGGAACAATTTCCCTGAATCCAGAGAGACAAGTTAAGGATTTGCAAGCAGCAAAGGCAGACGCATAATCTGGTTCATGTTCACCCTGAGCAACAAACTCTAATGCGCTAAATGAGCCAGTCCCTAGATGCGTAAGCTGCGGGGCTCGAGTTATCAACCGATATAGTTGCCCAATGGAGAGAAAGCGATTCAACCGCAGTTTCTTCAGAAAAGGAGACCTGATCACCAGCCTCTCTAATACTTCAAAGTTCAACGGGCACTCAACGCAATCAAAAATCAATGACTCGAGACATGTTTCACCCTCTGGGAAAAAAGATATCCATTCTACCTCATCGTCTGAAACTTCAGATTCAATTAGATCAAGCACTCGAAGTTTTCTGAAACAGATTCATAAATCCACAACAACGTCATCAGACATTTCTTCCATAGCCAAAAAGAAAATAATACCAATTCCTAAGCATTATAAATTCATAAAGCTTCTTATCTACGAGGCGTTCAACAACGTACATAACGCATAAACACCAAACTTACCCCATTACAAATCAGTAACAGATCTAAATATTAAAACAAGATGAACGAAAACCCAGCAAAGCACTGAAAGTTTCAACACCGTTCCCCAAATAAACCACTGCCGAGAAAAATATCACTATAGAGAGATCTAATTAGCCGCGGTGTGGATGGATTGAACAAGTAAAACCCTACCATCTACTTCTCAAGAAGGTGAACATGAAGAATAAAAAGCAAAAACGTACCTGCACTTGCTGGCAACAATAGCAAGCCCACTGGTTCCAAACCCTTCGCAGCAAATCAGCGAAAGCTCCTTAAAGCCTGAGAACGACTCTGCGAGGAGCGCTAGATCATCATCGGTCACAGACATTCGCTTCAAGCAGACCTTTTCAAGCCAAGGATAAGCCTTCGCCATCGCAGACACCCAAGGCGAAAAGTATGCCCCCCAATTGGGCGGCATCAGATTGAAATCGGCGAACCTGGGCTTGCCTTTAAGTACGAGAGACCGGACCCTCCTGAAACGCTCCGTAGCCCGACCTGGTGAGACTGCGTAGCAGTTACCGATGAAGAGCTCAGATCGGGTCATAGCCTCCACACGTGACCACGACTTGCAGACTAATGAGGCGACGTTGCGGTCCCTGCGCGAAGTCAGGAAGTGAAGTACGTTCTCCAAAACGTTCTCGAGCACCTGGTCCGGGAAGGGAGCCTGGGAGTCCGACCCGGACGAGTTGCAGTTCCGGGTTTTGTTCGAAGACGACGCAATCGCTGATTCGGATATCGCCGCAAAGCGGAGATCCAAAGGCGGGGATCGCTCGTCGTCTTCTGACATTTCGTTGGGATCCCGTCCCATCAGAGGGCTTCCGAGTTCCCACTCTCGGGCTCTGATCTGGAAATCTTCTCTGCTTTCCCCTTCACCCAATCATAATGGATTTCGATTCAGATCATATAGCTTTTGGTGCTTTTATTGCTCGAAACAAGAAAGAGATAAGAGAAAGAAAGAAATAAATGGAGGAACGAGAAGAGAGAGACGATACAGAGGAGGAAGGTGAAAATTTGAGATTAGTTTAATCGGGTCACAAGGAAGATGAGTTTACAGAGAGCGGTGGGCTGTCTGGGAGGGTCTGAGCATTGGGATTCTCCACACTTGCCTCTCTTTCTCTCTCTTTCATCTGTGTTTGTGTATATGCACTATCCAATGGCTCAGCTCTCCACACTTCTCCTCCATTATTTGGGGTTTTTCTTTCTACAAGCTTTTTGTCTTTTTATTTTCCCTGTGTTTCTTTTTCTAATTTTCAGTTTTTCTTTTCCCGGTTTTGCTAAAATGAGGATTAAGATATAAGTCTTTGATTTTTTTCGATAAAGACCCAAACATTTCATCTTTTTTGTAATTTTACCCCTTCAAGATTTATTATAAGTGATGATGAAAATAATAAATTAAGATTGAATTTAACTCAAATTAAATACTTAATTATTTTTGTACTAACCTATATATATATATATATATATTACATAAATACCCGTTGAAAAATAAAGATTAAAAAATCTTACTATATGTCTTAATCAAAATATGTTGTTTTCATGGTTGAAAACATGGTCAAAATAATAAATAGCAACACCGTTGAAGTTGATAATAGAAAA